GCAAAGCTAACTCAATACTATTCTAACTGAGTCATGGATTTGTATCTAGCACCCGCCCCTTAGTCGAATTCCTATTTCAAGGTCCCTGGCCGGATCTTATTAGAGGCCGTGGCATCTTCGGCCAAACATCAACAAGCACGGACCTCCCCGGACTCAACCACCACGTCCCTAGCACTCTACGTGCAAAGCACAACCGACACTACACCATGACACACAATTGCCTATAGTTATGTGTTGGCAAAGGGGTGGTTTCAACTACACATTATCTGTTAGTAATTGTACAACCTTTTAATGTCATATAATCTGTCGGCAATGATGTTGTATGGCTACAAATCAACTGTCGGCATTGCTCTAGGGACACTAAAACTGTCGGCAAACATTTGTAGACACAATAAGTGTCGGCGTAGCCTAACCGAGCCAACAACTCAAGTGTCGGCGAAAGTGTGTACGGTAGCGGCCGGTAAAACGAAAAAAACCCTCAGAATATACTCCCCCTCTCGCCTACAACACGAAAAGGAAAAAGGCCCGCGGTCATCCACGCGCGACCCGCGAGTACGCCCGCCGCCGCCGCCTCCCACGGACGCCAAGCCTCGCCGCCTCCCACACCGAGCCTCATTGCCACCGCCTCCCACGCCGAGCCTCGTCGCCGCAGCCTACCATGCCAGCGCCCGCCGCCGCACTCCTGCACAACGCCGCCGCCCGCCGCCGTCCGCTGGAACCCTATCCACGGATGCCCCATCGCCTGCAGTTCCGCGTCGATGCAAGATGTGGCCCATCCTCGATCCCCATCGGTTGTAGCTCTGGATCTGCGCGCATTCGATGCGCTACTCTCGTCGCTCCAACACCGTCCGCTCTGCCGTGGAGGCCGCCTTCCACCGGCAGCGGGCCTCGCTGAGCCACTCGTGCTGCAACTCACCACCTTGCTCGCGGCGCCGACCACCCGTGCCGATCTACGCACCATGGAGGTGGTTCTCTGCGAGATCCTCTCCCCGCACCCGTCAGGCGCGTCCTGCTACAACACGACGCATCCGTCTATGCCGACTCCTATCCGACCTCATCATTCACCTGTGACTTGTCATCAGTCATCACCTCCCACCTCGGTGAGAATTTTGTGTGCTCTCTGTTGTTGGGGGGATTCAAAGGAATCGATTGGATTGTATTCGAGACGGACGAGGAGAGGGCGGCTCAAGATCGCCGACACAAATAAGCTACACCATATCTACAGTGAGTAGTGGTAGGTTAGCCTTATCGATGATTGATTGGAACAACAAATTGATAGAAATTAGCATTCTTTTCGAATTTCAACTGGTATATACTTACTAAAATGGGGTTCTATACTTTCCGGATGGCGGTGTCATCGTTATATTTATCTGACTTCCTTGATTTCAACTCGTATTCCCCTCTAGGGAAAAGCAAAGAAACCTTCTTGTTTCGGGATGAATCACGATCTTTGGTTCGACGATCTGCTTGGAAATTGTTGTTCCTTTCCATCATTTAGTTGTTTATTACGAAATGATATTTTTCATGTTGACATAGTATATAAGTTTAGAATGTGTGCAGACTCCTGCATCCTATTATACTCTCCACTTACTTTGTCTAGAACTCTAGATCCTTGATTTGTTATGCGGCTCCAATTTTTTGTTGTCTTGTTATATTACTTGTTGCTTGCTGCTACTGCTACTTGGGATGGCTAGCTGCTACTGAAATTTCTCCTTTTTGACATGCACTGCAATTCAAATGGTAACCCCTTCTAGTAGCACCCAACCTGAGAAGTTTGAAAGCTTCTGGACATGCCTGGAAGACAATGAAGAGGATCTGATGGAGTTGTGCATCACCTCTATCATCCCTAGCTTGCAGCTTCAAAACAGGTTTGGAAACAAAGAACTCAATAGTCCTGTAGCTTGCATTTGATTCTTTTAACCACTAATATGGTCCACTGACTGCATGTGCAGCCCATGATATGTTCTCGGGGCGGTGTCCAGTTACGGGAGGATGAAATCGAGGTCACAGCGAGCTGAAGAAACTCAGTAAAGAGAGACCAAATGTTCTCCTTCAATTCCTTCATCTTATGGCAACATCTCAACACTTCTGAAATTATAAGTTTGCTTTATCTCTTTTTGTATTTTGTATTCTTATATGAGTTCTCACGTAAGTTTTTGTATCAGTAATGGGAATCCACATTTGTTTGACAACCCTCATCATTATTTTCCAATTACAATGATAAGATTCAATTCTTGACACGAAAAAGTATCTGGACTTGTAGATTTATACTTCTGTATTTTTGTCTTAGTTATGCACTAGTTACTATTGCATGGATCAATAATAACATGTTTGGTCCCTCTGAAGGACCTACCAGTTGTCTACATAGCAAAATGCATACTATACATTTTCCAATTATTGGTTATATGCTTAAAATGTTGATTAACAAAACTTAGACATTGGATTAATTTATGATCAAGCTACTTGTTTCTTGTAATGATCCAGTTGAGTCGCTCTTTATTCGTAACATGGTACCAAAGCTCTAGGTTTAGATCCATTCACCATCAGGAGTTTGAGGAACTGCAGCTTGGAAGGATCTGTTCTTGACGTCAGTGGAATACCCCAACTTGGCTACTTGTATGTGTAAAGTTCTATACTGCATAATCACCTTTTAGGAAAAGAAATTACCCTTTTTTGTTATTAGGAGAAAAGGTATTAGTTTTTTGGCTTTTTGCACATGGTGTTTATGAGAATTTGGCAAGTTATCTTTTGTTCTCATCTTCAACCATTCCTATGACGGGCCCACATTCCCTTGACTCCAACCATTCCTATGCCGGGCCCATCTCTTGCGCCGCAACCCATCGTCGTTGAGTGGTGGTCCGACTTCACGCCACCATGAAGCGAAGCGGATAGAGCTGCTGCTACAAGCGACTCAAGAAGATCGCACTCGTCTGCGCGCGCTACGTGATGCACATCGACGGCACTAATTTGATTTCATCCGATTTTTTACTTTTTTATTTTTTATTAGAAACACAATCTCTTATACGTCATCTCTTCATCTTCAACAATCATGTCTGTCTCGAGTCCACTTTCATCCCTCTTATCTTCTTTACTACTGCAGGTTTTTTTTTGTTGAGCGAGCACGTGAGCCGCGGCCCCATTTGTGTAGCCCGGCAGCAAGTATCCAGCAGGTGAGCACCAGATCTATCACACGAATCGCACGTCAACTTACAGATTAAATCTTCGGATCATTGCTTGATGCTTTGTTATAGTGTTGTTGGTAACTGGATGGATTTTCTTGGACAATTGCAACCATGTTCCAGTTATTCCTACATGTCCATCTATGGATGACAGTTCATTTGTTAATGACGTGCTAATTTTATTGTTCACTTCAATTCTCCCTCAATGGGACTAGTCATGTGCGTTTAGCAACATCTTGCATCAAATAAAAGTGAGAAGATTTGGATGTTTAGTATTTCCCTATGTGATAGTCGAACAGTCGAAGTCGACCGACACATGTTCAAGTAATTAGGCTAGCCTAGCTGTTCACCTAGTAAAGTTGAGAGTGCAGTTTTAGAAAAAAAAGTGCTATTTGATTCAAAAGAGAAACAGACTACCATTCAACGGGGGCGCTTCAATGGCATGGTGATTTATATAATGTGGAACATATGGAAGGAAATGAATCGAAGGATTTTTTAAACAAATTCCGAACAGCGCAGCAAGTGGTCTCGAGAGCTAAGGAAGACAGTGATCAAAGAAAGAGGGCTCTAGCGCCAAACAGGGTACCTTTTGGGGGTGTTTTTTCTCCTCTCATGCTGCTTGGAGGGCGGGGGGAGGGACCTGCATGTTCGTCCTGGGATCTTTTTGCCATGCCTCTGGAAGGCGCTTGACCTACTGTATATAAATACTATTTCCTATCTTAGTTGAAAGGTAGAGCTCCTGCCATATCATTAAAAAAAAGAAACAGACTACCATCTATTGTGTAGTAGATGCAGCCCCAGCCCTTGTGTTGTGGTGTGAACCAAGTTGTGTTTTGCAGTCAATGCTTTCCATATTTTTCACATTTAACTTCATTAAATATAATTTTATTCAACTGCATATAATTTTATTCAACTGCTCCATTGTTATAAAAACTATTGCTAAATTCCGGCATTGGATACCTGGTCCCAGAAAAAAAGAAAGAACAGACTTAACTATGCAGGGGATATCACATCATTGTCAGTTGTCACTGATCCATGCATTTCCCAATGTCATAGCATATCCTACCTGTTTAGTTTACAGTTTCAATTTCTTGACAGTTAACAGTTTGGCAATTCCACCAAACTGGTCTGCACATACATTTCCTATATTTAAAGAGGTGTTAACATTCCTTTGAATTCTTCTGTAAATAAACTTTATAACTGTGCACTAGGCTTTCTTGGCCAACTTGTCACTGCATTTGCCATCAGGTTTGAGCACCTGGATGTGCTGCATGGTGCAACCATGATACTTTTGTCTATATTTTTAGTGCTTGCCTGACCACTGTTTAATTTTCCTCACAGATAATTTGATCTGAACTTTTTTTTGTGATACAGTATATTGATGACATTAAGGCATGTGCTAAACTCGTTGTATCATTCTTAATTTTTCTGTCATGATTTTGAGTAAAATGGTTCTACTTTAGAGGCCACATTGGAGAACTCCATGAGCCACTAACTATCGCCTATTAGATCTCAGGCAATGAAGTTTTTGCATCTATTTTCTTTTGTACTAACGCAGTGTCCTCTGTTGATTGGTATGATTGTCTTCACATCACCAAGCCTAGCATTTTGTATGTAAATACAAAGAACAAGTTACACATCCATGCAGTAAGTATTAGAATTAAATATCAAAGAAGCCACAATTATCCAGGAAAACTGGTAGTTATGGCTCCATAGAAGAAATTGCTGTCTGGACGTGCAAATCAAACTCAAACCTGTACATTTCGATGACATTCATCATTATGTTCTGTAACAGAATTTTTTTTATTTTCTTCAGCAGAAATGGCAGAAGCAGTACTCCTTGCTCTGACAAAGATTGGTAGCGTTTTAGCAGATGAAACTGCCAAGAAAATGTTGTCCAAATTATCGGAAAAGGTTAATAATCTGAAGGATCTGAATGACAAGATCGAGTTAATAAGAATGCAACTGACAGCCATGAACAATGTCATACGTAAGATTGGCACAGTATACCTCACTGATGAAGTCGTCAAGGGTTGGATTGGGGAAGTGCGAAAGGTAGCCTATCATGTTGAGGATGTAATGGACAAGTACTCATATCACACACTTCAAATGGAGGAAGAATGGTTCCTGAAGAAGTACTTCGTTAAAGCGTCACATTATGTCTTGGTTTTTAGTCAAATAGCAGAAGTGGTTATCAAGATTGAGAAGGAGATCAAGAAAGTTATAGAAATCAAAGATCTGTGGTTTCAGCCTTCATAGCTTGTTGCTGATCAGCTAATTGAGATGGAAAGACAACGTTCGCACGATAACTTCTATATCAAGTTGGTGTATGTATGGAAGATCTAATATATTATTTATACAAAAATCAAGTGAATTTGTTCAATGTGATGCCTTCTATATGAGCAAAAGTGGATTTGTCAAATTATTTTAATTGTAATTATATCTATGCAGTTTTGCCGATAGTTTTTTTTGGGCAGGGTATGGTTTGAAAAATACCTTAGAAATGGTTTGGCCAACATATAAACTGTCGGGAAAGGTCTTAACTGTCGGCGTAGGTCTTAACTGTCGGCAAAGGTTTCAACTATCGGCGTAGGTAGACCGTTTGCCTACACATAAAGTGTCGGGGATTCTGTTAACTGTCGGCAAAAGTTTTGCCAACGGCTTCTAGCGCGACTGTTTCTAAACTGTCGGCAAAACTTTTCGCGGGAGGTTATCTGTCGGCAAAGGTGCCCTTTGCCTACAATAGAAAGTGTCGGCAAAAGTATGTTGTGTTATAGTGCGAGCGAGGTATCAAACACTAAAAATGGTGCAGCGCGTAGATGTGGCCATGCGCCGTGGTGGGGTCTGGCCACGGCAACACCGGCGCTGGGGAAATCACCTAGCCCAACGCCTCTACCTCTACCCTTTTATCCATCTATAGGCTATGGGAAACAAGACAGAAACCCTATTTGAATCGCTACTACACCCAAACGCGCTGGCCACGGGAATGACACCTAAACCGCATTTGCCGGTGATGGCCATGCGCTCCGGCGAGCCTAGGCCTTAACCGATTCGACCACCTACCCTAGGAGCTGGAGGGCCTCACCAGAGACATGTAGGACGGCCTAGACAAAGTCGTGCGGCTCGGCAAGGGGGGTGGCCACGTGCGCGGGGTTGCTCTGGTTCACGGCAAGCATGGCAACAAAGTTCTCGGTGACTCGCTGCACCCCTGGTGTCACTGTTTCACAGGAGAGGCAACCAAGTCAAGGAGACACAAAAGCATCGCTCAATTGAGACAAAGGAGCAAGGAGCGACGCCCTGGCCGAACACCCACCTCGACGCCCATGGTGGACCGCCGTGGGGGGAATGCTCCGCAGTACCTCACTGGAGGATGAAGGCTCGTCGGGTCAAGTCCAATCGTGAGCTAACCACCAGAGCTAGTTGTGTTCACGGTTAATTGGACGGAGGTGATTGGATTATGATGAATTTCGAAGGAGGGGTAGTTGGTGCCATTGGGGATACCTTCAGCTTTAAGACTGGCCGATGGCCATGATAGGCCAAGAGTGGGAGGGAGAGGCAAGTCTGGCCGACTGGAGGAGTAAATGCGGAGCCAGAGAAGCTGGGTCATCGGGCAATGGTGACTCCTCCCTACCGGACGTAGGGGCGGTGTCGCGTCAGGTGGAAACGACAAGGAGCAGGGGAGGGACGGTCGGAGCTCGGACTGTCCTGCCCAAGCGGGACGTGGACAGCGGCTTCGACGCCATAAATGGCAACACGATGGCACGGCGGCAAGGGGGGCAGCCCCACATGTGGCAAGGCGATGGTGCGGGCAGGGCCATGTGTCGGCCGCAGTAGGCCAAGTGTGGTAGAGCCGTGCAGCGTGACAGCGGCGGCAGCGGTAGGCCCGGCCGGCCATACGGGATAGGGCAGCGGTGGCCAGGACCTACGCGACGGTAGCACGACTGTAGCTGGGCCATGTGCAGTGCGAGCGGCGCATGTAGGCAGCGGGCAACGGGATGGCAAGGGTTAGCAGCGTAAGATGGTTGAACTTGTTCACATACTCCATCACAGTCATGTTTCCTTGCTTCAGCTCTAGAAACTCAGACAGCTTCCTGTTCAGCAAACCAGCAGGAATGTAGTACTGACGAAAAGCAGTGGTAAACTCCCACCAAGTCACATGGTGGTCCATAGGCTACATGGCATTGAAAGTGTCCCACCAAGCACTGGTAGATCCTAGAAGCTGTTGTGCGGCAAAGCGTACCTTCTGCTCATCAGTTACAATGAGCAGCTGAAACTTCTGCTCCAGAATATGAAGCCAATGCTCCACGTCCAGAAGCTCAGTAGCCAGCGTGAATGTGGGTGGGTGTATCCCCAAGAAGTCCTGATAGGAACAGGGCCTCAATGGACTGCGGGCACCACCCCCGTTCCCGCTATTGCCACTGGGGCCTCCACGGGCGAAGCCACCAATAGCCTATGCCAGCATATCCAAGGCACGGGCCGACTCACGATGAGCATCCAACATCTCAGCCATCATCTCGGCATGGGTCATCGGAGGTGGTGGTGGAGGAGGAGGACCAAGGAATGGGGCCTCATGGCTCTCCCCGTTGGCATTGCCATGATCATCGCCACGACCATTTTCACCCTGGTCTTCACCAAGACCACGGCCCATCCCAGCACTAGTGCTCCCACAATTAGACCTCAGGTTGCCCCCCTCTAGCCATATTAGGACCTTTTAAGTGGTATCGAAGCCGTGGTGACCATTTGATTGAAGGCTTAACAACCTCGGTGTCAAAAGATGGCTCAAGTTGTGTTCAACCATGTGGGGGGCAAACTACCATTCTTTGATGGCACATGCTATGTGTCGGTGTTTTGGAACCGGGGGTCCCTCAACCAACGAGTGAATTTGTGCTGCGTGCCCCTAATCCCGGATGGTGGCGCAAAGAGACACAAGGTTTATACTGGTTCAGGCAATCGAGGCCCTACGTCCAGTCCGAGAGATCGATCTTGTATTCCTTGCACCGGAGTGCTCGTAGTAGGGGGTTACAAGCTAGGTGAGAGAGGGAACTAGCCCCAGGTCTCGGCGAGTGTGGTGCGGGCTGCTTGAGGCGTTGTTCCCAAGCAGCGTAGGAGTGCGTGGTTCTATCGGCGTGTTCGTCTGTCTGGTCTCCCCCCGAAATGGCCCCCAGTCCCTCCCTTTTATACTCTAAGGGAGGACCGGGACCGCGTATGCAGTGCTACATAGCGCTTCTGTAAATGGGGTGGCGTGTCCGAGCCCTGTAGTCGGCCACTGTTGTGGTATAGTCGATGGAGTGGCCCCGTCCTTGTCATGCGGAAGTGACATGCTGGTCATACTCGGTCTTGTGCGTCGTGGGGCTCCAGTACGGCTTGATGCAGGACATGGCGGGCGACGTGCTGGTCGCCGTGTAATGACGTCGTGAGGAGGCGGCGGCTCTGCAGATGCTTAGAGGCCGAGCCATCGTGGGGGCTCGGTGGTCATGGACCCTCAGTGCCGCCGAGCCCGTGAAAGCAAACCGTCGAGGCCTTGGGGGAGTTATTGGCCCCGGCATGCGATTCCGAGGCCACGATGGCCCAGACGTGGCTCCCCATGCTGCGTTGTCCTTGGCGCGAGTTGGCGGCCAAAGATGAGGCATGGGTGTCAACCATGTGCACGGTGGATAGCATAGTGACGGGTAACCCCCGCCATCCGGGGGACGTCAGTGTCATCGCGTGATGACGCGTGGTAGGGGCCGTGGCTCAGAGGTGCCGAGCCAAGCCATCGTGGGGGGCTTTGGCGGACATGGGTCCTCGGTCGCCGAGCCCTCGGAGCAAGCCGCCGAGGCCTTGGAGGAATTATTGCTCCCGGTACGATTCCGAGGCCACAGAGCTTCGATGTGGCTCCCCACGCCGCATTGTCCTCGGTGCGCGAGTTGGCGACATAGTGAGGCATGGGCGTCAACCCATGTGCACGGTGGTTAGTACAGATGGCGGGTAACCCCGCCCAGATCCCCCTCCTCTGTCCCCATCGGCCATTCTGCTATCTTGTCGGGCATGTGGTCATTGTCGAAGCGGCAGCAGCTATTGGTGAGTTGATGCGACCTGACGCTTTTGCGGAGGGACGGGAGAAGGAAGAGGTAGCGAGTCTTCTGCCGCCCGCCTTCTTGCGCGAGCGAGACGGGGTCGGTGGCCTCGGCCGAGGCCTTTATGGCGGAATCGACCGAGGCCCGTGGTGAGGGGGGCCTCGGCGAATCGGAGAATCGGCCGAGGTCCATGGTGATGGGGCCTCGGGCGAGTCGGAGAATCGGCCGAGGCCAGCAGCGTTTAGCTGGTTTCGATCTTTACGAAATCTAAGCAGTCGTTTTTTGGATCTCGCTTAGGGTACCCCTTCTCATGGTATCCGACACTATGATTATTGGAAGAGAAAGATGAAGATGTATCTTGGTTCAATCAATGATCAAGTGTGGGATGTGACCGAGAGTGACTATGTGATTCTTGATCCCACCAATCACACCAACCAAGATAAGGCCAACAAGCAATGCAACACAATGGCTCTCAACACCACCTATAATGCCATTGATTCCAAGGTGTTTAAGCAAATCAAGGATTGTGAGAAAGCTAGTGAGGTGTGAAAGAGATTGGAAGAGACCTATGAGGGTACACCGGCGGTGAAGAGTGCCAAGTTGTACATTCTCAAGGACAAGTTAACATGCTTTAAGATGAAGGATGATGAGAGCATTCCGAAGATGTTCCATCGTTTGCAAGTGATTGTCCATGATTTGAAGGCTTTGGGTGAGAAAATCAATGACGATGATGTCTCTCACCGGTTCTTGATGTGCTTACCTTCAAGATTTGAGATGTTGATATTACTCATCATAAGAGGAGGATTGAAGGAGCTCACCCCTAACTAAGTACTAGGTGATGTCATGACACAAGAGACATACCGTGTGGAAAGGGAGGGGGTTGACAAGGATGAGAAGAAGGAAGATGAAGACAAGAAGAAGAAGAAGAGTGCAGCATTTAAGTCTAGCTCATCATCCAAGAATAAGGGCAAGTCCAAGAAAGAATCAAGTGATGATGAAGATGCTAGTGACATTGATGATGAGGCCATGGCTCTCCTTGTGCGCAAGATGGGTAAGTTCATGAATAAGAAGGGCTATGGTGCAAGAAAGAGAAGAGATCACAACAAGGAGTATGTGAGAAGATGCTACAAGTGCAAGAGCTCGAATCACATTATAGCAGATTGTCCCTATAATAGTGATAATGATGAGGATAAGAAGAAGAAG